ACTACTGAAGACAGAGTGAACTGATTTGCGCATAGGGTTAGAAATCGTGAAACCCCGCAACAGTGTTAACAGATTAATGCGATTAGGGTTATAAAGTGTGAAACCCCGCAACTGTGAGATAAGTAATTGTAGCCGTTATTTGTAGATTGTTAAATAAACCAATTAACCATCTCTACGGCGTCTTCGGTAACGTAAACACGTTACAATATTATAGTAATAAGTTGATCACGTTACGTATTTATATTAATTGTCTGATATGCGTTTTTGAGGGGAATAACATTTTGGTGTGCCGTGTTGAGTCATGGATACTTCATGGTGTGCCGTGAGTAGAAAAAGGTTGCGGAACACTGGTCTAGATAATGTGGGACCCTCAACGTCTCACAACCCTATAGGCCTTCACAGCCTGATACAGGGATAGTTTTATTTTTTTTTATGTAATATCATTTAAACAATTTTGTAACTGCCAAGAGATTGGAGGGGGATCTAACTATCCTTTGCGGGCTAGAGGAAAACTGGATGGACAGAAGATTAAGAAAAGATACATTATGAAGTCTCCAACACAAGACACCAATTCACTCTTCAGGCAGACTGTACCTGTTCCGTGTCAGGCTGCTCCTTCTTCTCCACAGCCTTTCTACGTCTTGCCAGAGTCTTTGCCATTTCATCCATCATACTTGACATGCTTGCCATTCCACCGCGACCTATGGTGCCATAGTTACTACTGCTTCCACTACTGCTTGTGCTGGAGCCACTGTTCTCTGCGGATTGCTGCACACAAATTTATGAGGATTCACTGATAAACTCTGCATGAAGAATATTAACAATTCCCGACCACTTAACCATTTCTGTGTTATGAGTCAGATCTTTCATCTAACTGTGATCTCTGGGTCAAGTGCATTAAATGTTACATGCTTTCCACACGATAATTTTGTCTCATTTAGAAAGAGGAAAAGGAATGAATATTTACTATTTTACTCAGTACAGCTGTTACTGACAGCCAATGGAAAGTAACATGGCAGTAGCTTGCTTTGAATCTTCCAAAATCTTGGACTGCTCCCGTGTTCTGAGCAATCAGGAAAATCAAGGAATATATCCACCTAAAATCTATTAGCCACTTAAAATTCCACTCAATCACAAAGGAAAGCTAAGGGTTGACATCTGCCTTTCCTGTGCATGACAAACTGGTGGGCAACTTTCCTTCAACACATACCTTATTTGATCTGCGCAGTTTGGCACTCTGGAGCTGAGCTGCCAGTGATGACGTCTGCTCCTGCCCATCAGAACTAGATGACCTAGACATGTGCAATGCAGGGGGAGGTGGGGGAGGAGGAGGAGCAGCCGCAGTAGGAGCCATAGGGGGCACAGGGGCCTGGGAAGAAGCCCCAAGCCACGGAGGACATGGTGGGGCAGGAGGGGCAGGAGGTGGCACACCTGTTTGAGGTGATGATGTGGGGGGAGCCAGAGCCATTGGTTGAGGCTGAGGGGCAGGGGGAGCTGAAGAGGTGCGATGGTGACCTGGCGGGGCAGGAGGTGCTGGTGCTCCTGGCGATGGGCTCCCTGGGCTACCTAAAACTGTACATCACAATACAGTCATTTCAAGATAAGTTAATATTCCAATTGGCAGTTTAATTCAAATCATGCCACTGTGTACATATAAGAGTAATTCATTCTTAAAAATATAAACCTTACACACACATCTATGTATATCATCCGGGCTGCACATTTAAAACTAGATACAAGGAGCACAGTAGATAGAGTAGGAGAACCATCAATAAATCGAAATTTGTAACATAAATGATTGAAAATAATCACAGACTTGATAACACATAAATAACATTGCATCTGAGATATTACACTGGGCTCATTTGACTCAAGAGAAGGTCCAGTGGTGGACTCCTGTGAACATAGTAGTGGACCTCTAGGTTCCATCAAGAAGTGGGAACTCTTTGAACTGCTGGGTGAATTCTCATGGACGTCTCTGCTCAGACACACAAGCAGCTGTGCATAGCCACAAAAATAATAATAATAAAAAAAAGGTCCATTCTCTTAAACATATAACACATCTCAAACAAAAATATATGTTTTTCTCTATTAAACAATCAGCCAGCGAACACAATTCAATGTACCGTCCATGTCAGTTCCCTTGAGACCAGAATCACCCAGCTCTGACATGGAAAGAATTCAGAATTATTTTACGGCCTGTGGTTTACCACCAATCAGTTCATCTTGGTACCAAGCCCCTTGAGGATCATGACCAGGATAATTTTTGTTGCAACACAATCCTTGAGGTCACAGTCCTTATGTAACATCCTCTCTGATCAGATGAAGGGTTTGTTTGTTATGAATAGGCTTGGCCTTTTTCAAGTATACATATCACACATATAGCATGTCACTGAAAATTCTTCCTTTCGCACTACATAAAAGTCCTATGTCAATACAAGATTTGCAAAGCAGATCAAGCCTGTCTTACAGGAATTTAGTCACTTGAACGGACATAAGCTTGACATCAACCAAGTTTAAGCCTCTGATATTTTTGATGTTTGGCTTCGCCTTGTCCTATGGTACGAATATGTTCATTCTCATGATTCTGCATGACTTCTGATTGCTGCCTGCAAAGCTGTCAAATAATTGTATATGTACCAAAGGTTGAAAACTGTGTGCAAATCGTGGACTGGTGTACAGCTTGGAAATTTTCCAATGCTGCGGATGTGGCGGTATCCACCTCACAGAATACATTCACCCTGAGTTCTGTATTCGTGCTCCTATCTGTATACAGACTACTACAAACTACTAAGGCCTTTTTTTTTTTAAACCACAGAACACAGCAACACTTGCACATAGAATCCTAGCAGATGCCACTCCTTGCCCCACAATCCCCTCTGTGAGAACTCAAGAAAAGTAACATGAACAGTACTTTCGGTTTCGTTTACTGACCACGCCACAATATCACGATCTAAAATTAAGCCTTTCTAAAGTTAGTCACTGCACTACATGTTTTAGCCTACTATGCCATCAACAGGTGCACTGAAATTCGGGGGAACTGCAGTGCTTTCTGTGCTACTGCAATCGGTGTTTTCACATTTACAATATTTTTAAATGGAGCCAATGTTAATTCTGTCTTCTATGCCACATGTATCATCTTTTTGATATGCCTGTTCACTATCAAGTGTGCAGTGTGGATGTTATCCCGAGCAGGTCACAATATGTAGTGCTGTGATGAATTTGCTGCATGGTGGATGGTAAACAAAACTGAAAATTATAATACCATCTTCAACAGGACACTAAGATATGATGACATGAACAGTACACACCTGGTAGAACCATATATAATATATGAAGGATGAAGACCAGCTTTAGATATTGTCACAGGTGTGACAATAGATGGAGTCTGGATTGGTGAATAGAGTTACTGACCACTCACAGGCCTGAACTACAAATAACCATAATACTACTGCTGATTTCCACACCACAAATCACTCCACGCTAGGTCTTCTCAGTCTGCTTTCAATAGTTGTTGCTTGGTAACAGCTCTCAACACTGGCTATACCACTGCAATGTTTTCACTGGATGTTTCCTGGTAACAAATCTCAAAACGAAGATTCTTCAGCTTCTGCAGTCATGCCATTGCCCGCTGATTAACACTTCACATCTGAACTCTTCCGAACACCAACCAACAACTTCACTTCACTTCATTTCAAGCAACTGAACAGCACTCAGCCAGTCTGGGGGCCTCACTATATAGCCTCGAGGGCGATCAAACAGAAAACACTGCCTTCAACAATCCCTACATTGTTGTGATGGGAGGTGGCCTAGCCATAGCTCAGATACTGTTGATGTGTTTACTGGCCATTACCAAGCAACACGTGTTCCTTCTCACAATCGTTGCATAGCAACAGTACTATACGATTATGATATGATTAGCAACTTTAATTTACTATCAGTGCTTAATGGTTCATATAAATCAATATAAATGTAGAATATATATTTTTAAGAATATATTACTGATTCACTTAAAGGCTGTCTGCAAAGCTTACTTTGCTGCTGTTGTGGCTGTTGCTGCTGCTGAGACATTCTGCGCTCCTGGATGATAGCAACATCCTCCCGTGTCATAGTCCTGTCAACAAGACTACAGATATTCAATTCACTTCACTCAATCACAGCAGTGGGTCTCAAGCTGCTTCTTTCCTTAAAAAAAGAAACAGATAAGAAAAATCCCACATTCTAAGCAATATTCTTTCTCCCAGGAAATTTCTTCAATACAAGTCTCTTTATATCTTCCCAGACAGTCACTTGATCTGTCCTACCTCTGTGGAACTAAACCTTTATATGATCTTTTACAAATTACATTCTGTAAGATTTGAGGCTTTCACGGCGGTGACTATGAAGAAAGCAGTCTTCTGGGATTTGGCACTGTGTATATGTGGTGTTAACCGACGTTTCGGAGGAACGTATCGCCTCCATCTTCAGGGTAGAAGAAAAAATATAAGAAATCTGCAAGCGAAGAGACCGTGAGAACCGGTAAAAGCAGACTGAGCAAGCGAAGAGACCGTGAGAACCGGTAAAAGCAGACTGTCTGCTTTCTTATATTTCTTATATTTTTCTTCTACCCTGAAGATGGAGGCGATACGTTCCTCCGAAACGTCGGGTTAACACCACATATACACGGTGCCAAATCCCAGAAGACTGCTTTCTTCAAATTACATTCTCTTTGAAGGAGAGTTTCATAAGGTTAACATTTCAAGTAAGCAACTGGTAAATAAAAACAACTTAGAATTCTCCAAAACAAGTGAGCAACACCTGTAACTTTTGTCATGACTTTCATTTAAAGTCCAACAAATATTATTAACATAGTATACATTTGTATTATTGCACAAATTTCCTACCTACACCAAAATTTCTAACAGGAGAAAATAGGGGAAGTTTCCAAGACTTCAACATTCTAAATTTAATAAGTATATTGCCTTTAGCAGCTCATATATATTCACAGTTCATTTCCTTGTCACTTATTTAACACTTTTTAGACATTCTATTGGCTGTGTGTATGTGTGTGTGTGTTTGTGTGCAAGCATTAAGAGAAATAAAACTACCATACAACAGATTGTACATTATTGCATTCCTGACTGCAACACCATATATTTCATATTGCACCATGATTATACCTGCATGGTACTAGAGACCACAATCCAATCAATGCATACAAAATTACACCCCAATCTCCTATCACCACTTATTTCCAAAACTATCATAATGCAACCATATCACCAAACTTCACAATTTGTCATATGCATATCAAAAAATTACATTGTCAGTGTAGCTGCAAAAGTACTGCCAGCATATACCATGAAAACAAGGTTCCACAATCTCTCTGAAGCAAATGTGTAGTGAACTTGCTGACCAAGGCCAGACAATGGTGCATATCACAGTGAACCTATATAAACTCTTTGTTAGAAAGCTGGTGAAAGCAGCAAGTACAAGTGACATGCATCAGTCTTGCACATATCATCAAAGCTTCATTAAGAAAGCATAAAAAGTCAGGTCAATGTGTTAAATGCTGCTGATCACTGGGTTAACAAGAGTTGGACCAAAAAAAATACACCAACCATGAAATGTTAATTACCACTCTCTATAAGAAACTGACTGTATTCAACGATATTAGGCGGACAAAAAGCATGAACAACTGAGTTCTCACGACCCTTGATTCAATGGTTATAGAATTAAATGTTCCAAGATTATGTAACAGTCCACGGTTTGGCGAACTAAACCATATTCTCTTCAACGAAATAAGCAAATCCTTTTCAGGGTTTCAAATAAATGGACCTTCATGGTGAAACTTACCAATGATCTGATGAATTTGCCTGCCTTCTGACTGAAATATGGACATTAAAATCATGATCTGTTTTATTAATTTTTGTGAAACTCAGAAACAACATCGTGCTATATGGCAACACCCAACCTCATTACATTTTAATGCTGTGTCATCGACGAACACCAACATGGTGGGTGCACAAAACACTTAGATGAGGACAACATTACCAGCAATTACTGTGAAGTCAGTAATTTTTAAGGTATCATCTGTCGGTCCCAAAGCCTATCTTGAAGATTAATTATTTTGTTGTATGACTTACAGAGAATGTATATAGCTTTAAAATGAACTCTGGCTTGAGGAAGATATGGAAAGGAGGAGTCATAAAACCTACTTTATCACGCAGAAAAGTCTGCAACACTGAGTATGCACTTGACATACATCGGAAATAAGGATTAACTTCATAGACCAGTTTACCATATGACTTCTTTGAAGTGATACTGTATTATTATTATTATTATTATTATTATTATTATTATTATTAAACCTGGAGCATCATGAGGAAGGAAGATGGAAGAAATCAGGGCACTTGAGCTTAAAGGAACCAAATCCCAGAAATCGCAAGTACCAACAATCACAAACACCTGAAGCAAAGAAAGTGCCAAATACTCTGCCCTCTTTGCTAAAAATGTATATTCTACTTTGTTAAAATAAATAAGCCCAATTTAAATGAATACCACTACAGCCAAAATACCATGTCAGCACTGCCCAAGTCGTACCTTGCTGGTCCACTGGGCCCAACCTCTGAATGTGGTATCCGTGGTGGGGCTAGAGCAGTTGAGGGCACCTGGTGGTACAACGCAGCTCTCGGCAATGTCACCATCTGACTGCAAGCCAGCAACAACAGTGCAAACTATCCCACCCTCACCAAACACACAAGCCCAATTCCTCACAAGGAAATATACGAGTATATCAAACTGCATTATATGTACCGCAAGGCTGTAGAATTCAGATGATACCTGGCCTTGTAATTAACTTACAGGCCTGTATGGTTAAGGAAGAGTTGCTAAGATGCCAAACATGATCATAGCAACACGTATTACACTGCGCATGACGCAACTACTCTACTTTTACCCTTTATCTGAGAGTGAACCAACTGAGCCCACGAAGCAGGTTCTGACTCTGCATTCCACTTTTCTGCTGCCTATGTGCAATATCAGTTAATATTCTCTCATCCTATTTTGAATTGTTTCATTTTTGGTCCGTTACACTATTATACATAAAATCAATACAAAGTCCGTTGAGTGTAACAATGTTTTTTATGTCACTTCTTTCTCAATCTTGCCTTACATGTTTCGGTTTTAGTAAAACCATCTTCAGAGGCACATGGTACTAACAAGAAAACACTGGCGTTGTTTAACTGTACACAGTATATATGCTGTGTGGGCACTGCTACAAATGTCGATGTGTAAAAGCACAACACTAGCTTGGAGTACTGAATGCACGTACAGAATGCACGTTCAACCTTCGCATTCAATCCGAAGTTGCCCTCGCGTTAAAACATCACTATTAAAATATTTAAAAATATTTAAAAGTTTAAGACTTTTAAAGTAAAATATAAAAATGTTAGGCTGCTTCTTAATTTATCCCGATGTTGGGAGATGTCTTGAGGTTGTATTGGCTTGTAGTTGGATTATTNTGTAGCAGTGCCCACACAGCATATATACTGTGTACAGTTAAACAGCGCCAGTGTTTTCTTGTTAGTACCATGTGCCTCTGAAGATGGTTTTACTAAAACCGAAACATGTAAGGCAAGAGTGAGAAAGAAGTGACATAAAAAACATTGTTACACTCGACAGACTTTGTATTGATTTTATTCTCTCATCCTCTTTTATTTATAGTCATCACATGTTTCGGCTTAATTGGCCACTATCAGGTGTACAGGTTGTTGTGATGAAGTACTCTGCTGCTCACTGTAATGCTGTTCTGCTTTTCTTACATAATTACCTCAAACTATTCTAGGTTATATGGGTTCTACACTTCTAATGATTTAATCTACTGTAATTCACATACAGATTAACAGATGATACAACCCCACAAAACATTTCATGCCTCTCATGTTGTGCTCCGATGTCTCTACTATGTTAACTGATCACTGTGGAAGCATATGGAAATTCTTGCAAGGTACAGTATGCGCCAAAAATAAAATACTGAAACTCACGCATCTAGAACACACATGTGTTTGTCGACAGGGCATAGCTCCAGCCTCATGTGTTCCCAGTAGTGAAAAGGAAATTGTGTTGTGCAGTTGTTGGTAATGGGTCTCTCAACGGAGGAAACAGTATTCATAGTTGAGTATTATTTCCACTCATATGGAAGTGGTCGCCAGACAACTCGCTTCCTTGGTTTTGAGGGGCCAGATGCTATCATCCAGAAACCGCTACACAGTACATGTGTGACGATATGGTGTGCCATCTTAGCACACAGTATATTAGGCCCCTATTTCATTGAGGATGAGGAAGGCAATGCTCTTACAGTCACCCAAGAAAGCTACACGGACATGGTGATCGGACCATTTTTTCAGGATTTGAGAAGGTTCTGTCATGCAAGGGGCCTTCACATGAATAGACAGTGGTATCAACAGGACGTCTTTTCATTTCATTTTGGCCCATACTGTATTCAAATGAAGGATTGACAAAGGTTGGCAGACAGCAAAAATAACAATATCAGTAGTCACCTTTCTTATGAAAAAGTTCTGTATCAATTACAAGCTTCTTTTACTTAAAAATGGACTGAACATAATGTAAACATGCCAATGAAGAAAATGCCCCACTGACATATTATATAGGAGCAAAGATTATTATATGACCATATACCATTAATGCACAACAAAAAGAATCTTCATTCATACAACTGATATAATTGAAATTATTATCAACATGGAGGGCCACTTCTCATGTCCTATCACACATTCCCTTTTCATTATTAGTTTCCTGAGGTAATCTAACCTTGTGTAATTCTGGCACACACAGAAGTTATCTCTAGGCTTAATTATGATTCAACGTGAACTTAACATAAGGAATGAATGATCATGAACACCTATCTAAATGTTGCTTTCTGAGTTGAAAATCTTAAGGATATACTTGTTCAGTCTTGAATAAAATATCTTACTGGGAGACCGATGTCTTAGTCACATGTGTTCACAGGATAATTAGTGTCACTATCAACAGGAACAGATGGGTGAAGCATGGAATAAAACTGCAACATAGTACTCAGAACACATACTGCGTTCATTTATAACAAAAATCCAAATATCATGAAATGTAACACATTTTAATCTTCTAGAAAATAATTCCCCTACAAAATAAAGTGCACAGAGCCTAGTCCTTCTTGAAAATATTAAGCCACTCAGCCTATCAAGAAATCCCTGCTAAAATTCTGTATGGATTTCTACACATAAGTACACCAAACTTTCTTGAAAATCAAAATGTCTGGTTTCTACTAAGAAGAGTAACACAGAGACATTACATACTTCTCACAGCTTAGACAAGCATATCACCTTTCTTCTTCCTCTTTTCCTGACAATTTCTGTGTAGACTCCACAAACCAAATTTCATTGATTTATGTTATAATGGTTTATAAGATGAAATATGTGGATACAGGCAGATCTGACCTCCGGGGGGGGGGGTATATTTTATGTCCTTTGTGCAACCAAAGCTTTAAAGAATTGAGAAACTCATGGACTGCAGGTTTCAAATTTTTCGCCATATCCATCAAGAGACAGAACAAATATTTCTGTTCCAACTGTTGCAGCCAAATAACATCCACGACAAAATCAACTTTCTGAAATAAACTTACCACAAACAAAGAGTGGTATAATACTTTTTCCCACACTACTTCTCATTTCATACAAAATTCCACTTACTTCTGCAAGTAAGTAACTTAAATAACATTCAGCCAATCTCTGCATATTACCTGTATCCCATATCTTCTTCATACTGTCCATTATTCATGGGTTGATATATAGGTTGAGTAACAGGTGCCATGGAAGGGTGTCCCACTGACCGTGAGATGGAATTGCTCAGCATCTGCACACACAAGAACACAGCCACTACTATCTGACTCCTCTTTAATCTGTGTGGGTGCCAATTACTGGCCAGCAACCAGCCAGTGAAGCATTTTTTGCTTCCATAGTAATACATGACGTGGACTTAACATAATGACTTACCATCACAACAGGTAACAGAATGGATACTGGAAAAGAACAATATATTTATTTCAACTTTCCTACATGGAGTGCACAAAGCATACATATAAAAGAATACATGGATGATCTCCTATCACACAAAAATGTTCACTCTTTTCAAATGGGCATCATAAAATTATAGGTAATTTGCATTCATTAATATTCTAAATAAATCACTGATACTCTATACAATAGAACAGTAAAATGGTAAAGTTGTCACTGTGCTTAACTAATTAAGCACTATTCCACGAAGGCATACGTGGGAGTGGATGTATAAATGAACATTTTCTTGATCTTGGCGCTAGTTGGAGGTGAGGAGTCAGTTTCGCGCCCTGGCCGTTTCGCCCTCAAGAAAGAGCCCCGGTACCCACGGGATAGGAAGCTGGGTGGGCCCCAGAGCCAGTCTGGATGATGTGCAGAAAAGAAAATTCTTGAACCTACTAGGACTAGAACTCTGACCCCTTGGTCATCAAGCCCATAGCTAGTCACTATGCTGACTATGTTATCTTGGCTCCACACAACAGAACAGTTCATGGCATAAGCAACTGACATGACAGGCAGAAACTGCTATTTTTTCCTTCCCCCAAGTACAGAATAATTTAGTGATATTTTAATTTTTTAAATCTCAGTTTAATCCAGCATTCTTTGAGGGTTATATAACAATGATGTCAGCATCCAGCCTATATGGTATCAAATGGTAGGATGACTGACAACTGGAAGGGAGCAGGTAGCAAGATCTGCTTCACACTGGTTTCTTGATTGCCTTATTCTTTGACCCTGAAAATGAGGGTGACACATTCCTCCAAAAAGTCAGCTGATTTTCAACAAACTATGTGGCATTATATCCCTAAAGATAGAACCCTTCATCCCTTACGTACATAAATATACTCCTTTGATGTTACACCACACACACTGTCAGTCTCTTACAGAAAGAGACTTAGCATACACTTGATGAATGACAATACTCACATCCAAAGCATGGAACATGGCACGAGCAAAGGAGTCGGCATCCTCCTTAGTGCTGAAGTTGAGTCCATACACCTGTTTATTATCGCGCCACTGATGAAACGTGGCTGTTGCTTGGTTGTACTTCAGTCCTTTCAGTATAGCACAGTTAATCACCACCTGAAACATGTTACCTTGTCAAAACTGTTCACTACTAACAGATCAAGAAAACATATTAATACTGCTGAAATTTTATCGCCTGTCTCAGAAGTCACACTCAAATTGGAGACCTCTTGAATATGAAGCAGGAGTACTACTAACAACTATCCAACATTTGTGAAAGGCACTGCACCTCATGATCCTGTAGTTTGCGTCCCACTACTCTAAAGGTGTTGTTTATTTGGTGCTGGTAGATGTGAACTTTGGACAATCCTGAAGAGGTGCCACTTGGAATCCATTTTTTGCTCACATCGTCATAAACCATCACCGACGCCCGCGCCGATGCAATGCTCTGCTCACTACAACAATACAACAGTAAGTTAAACATGACATACCAAGGCTGATCAATATTTTGTTATTACCTTTGTCATTACTAGCCTGTTTCTTTAAAGATCTATGTAAACAGTGATCCATAATGTACGTTTGCTACTGATTACAGAAAGATATGATTTATAATAAAAGAACTCTGCTGTCAAAATCAAACTAATCTTATTTCTTTCCCCTTAAAAGCATAATTTAAGTTCTCTATATGGTCAGGGGCCTTACAATATCCTTTAAAGGCATGGCTAGAAACTTTTATGGCAAGAACTGGTTTCTTGCACATGTCAGAACTGTCCCATTCATCTGCTTTCTCCTTTTATGTCTCTTACGGGATGTCTAATGTACTTTATAAATTTGAATATATTTAAACAAGGGAGAAATCTTGTTCTGTGACATCCCCATAATTTTCAGTCCACGTCACTACACAGCAAACTGTTCTGTTCCTATTAATTTGTTGCTTTCCTGCCCTTTTCTGGTAAAAGCTGTACCTTCTTGAGCACTCATAACATGCAACTTTTGTTTGCCTACTGAAGTGGCCATTATACAGTGATCTGTGCTATATGAAAATATATATATCCTTGCTATGCTTATATGCCTATGGCATCAAATTCCTAGTTACATACACAAAACTTTTCTAAAAGCAGAAATAAGAAAATTGTGAAGTTTCACATCCACCAAAAGACTGAACAAAATATTACACCACAAAAGACCGAGATCTGGGTGTGAAACTAAATTCAAAACGCCAAATTTATCCAGAGTGAACTGTGCCAAATACATCAATGCTATAAACACATGTCCATTAAGAACATTAAGACATAATTTCACACAGTTATCAATAATTAATGGCAAGCAATAGGTTCATTGTAGTACTTTGCTGGTCCATTTGTTGCTTTAGACTAAATTTGTCTATTTTGGACTGATAGTAAAGAATATTACAAGATTGCACCACTTATGCAGCTGACGGCTATGTTATTGGTGGTAACCATTTCAAGGGGTCAAAAAATTATACCTTACTGCACCACTAAAAAGTATCACTAGTGTATAAACATCGCGCTGGAGAGAAAAAGAGGTACACCATACATTACTTCTCAACTTTGTAACTATAATTTTTCGCTTATAAGTAACTGTATTTGTTGACCACTATCAATGCCACTTCTAGTTAAATCTTTGTCACTGTCATCATCAGCAAAGGAGCTATTTGAGTCACGGCCTACCTTCGAAGATTCTATCAGGTTTTTCTTGAATTAGGCCATCTGGTTCTCACTTCTTTGGACTTCACAACAATAATTTGTTCACAGAGAAAGGTTGTCAGCCTTACTTGCAAGCCTTTACTTTTGGGGCCAAGATACTGTATCTGACCTTAAGTAACAGGGTGGCCCAGTTATATACCCAGGCACTAGGTATCCTTTTCTTTGCCTTCAATGATTCGCAGAGGTATGGTAGATGTATCCGAACCAACCTCCACATGGGATTTAGTTAATTCTCCTCGTATTTTCTGGCTATTCACATTATGTGAAACTGTTTACAATGAGATGTACACTCACACATTCCTTATGATACAAAACTGCAGAAACATGCTTTGTGTGTACTCAAGCCTGAAGCTTGTTGTGTTTGTTCAATGTTCTCAAATCACTGGTGTACAATGTACAGTACTTACCACAAATCAGAAAACTGGAATGTTATGCGCTATAAGATAATATTAAAAAATACCAACATAATATAACTAAACTTAGGCACATAGTGTATCCAATGTATCCAACATCATTTTTCAGTTTGTCCAAAGTTCAAACACTGTGGCATGGCTAACCAAAGTTCTTGCAGTAATCACACTTCAGTTTTTCATCAGTTTCACAATCTTAATATTCAACAATTTCTTACTACAAATGTGAAATCTCAGTAGAATATCAGCTCTGAATAAATTCTGTGTTAATAATATGAGTGAAAATAAATTTCACCCAACTTTCCTACCACAATTTCAGACAACCTCATTATTACCCTAAAGAATATTATACCTAATTTACCACGTGTATATAAAATTCTTTTGCTAAATAAAACTCAATAAGGAAACAAACAAAGAAAAAGTGTCTTAGTATTATTTGCATGTCACTAAAGTGAAGATTTCTTCACGCAAAGAGAGGACACTGCATATCATTAACGTGCATCAACTAAAAATTACGATTTCTTCCGACCACAGACACTGATCAACAGAACAGAACTATAAAACTGTACTCCATCTTTTGTATTTATCAAAATGGCATAATTTTTCTTTTCATATTTATTCTCATGTACATTCAAAACACGCACAAGATCAAATCACATGAATTCGTGCAAAACATAATTTGCAATCCATACAAAGAACACATACAAGCTGAACATTCTGTAACATACATTACAAATACATATCACTCCAAAAATAAGCTCTATCAACTATATGCTCAAAAAAACATGCACAATTCAAAGCAAAGTGCATAAATTTCTAGTAAGAATACCTTCAGAGTATGCAGCAACTTCCCCCCCCCATCAAAAAATTACATTTTGACATTTAATTCTACTGTGGTTCTTTAATGAAACCAACAAATTTGTCCATCTGCCCATCCTCGCTTCCATCCACCTAACTAACTCAACGCGGTAGACTGATTCTTGAGAATCTAGCAAACACTTATATAGTCAATAGCCCCTTCCCCCCACCCTTGAAACCCAAAGGTTCACTGCCATACTTGTATTTACAAGAACCCACCACTGGACTCTAACCCAAGTCAGAAACCCTATTTCCGTATGATCAATCTTAACATTATCCTTCCATCTACATTTAATTCTCCAATGTGGACTCCAGCCTTCACATTTTCTTACTAAATTTTACATAATTCATCACTCCCAAGCACATCACCTCCTTGATCTGATCACCTGAGACTTAGTGAACAGTACAAACTGGGAAGCTCCTCATTATGCAGCAATTAGTTTATCATATGACTCACTATAATGCATGAAATTAATTTACCTTAAAAGATTTCTTGGGGCAAAGTTTGACAAAAGAATTTTTTGGAGGTAAATTTATGAGGTCTGACAATAAAGTTGGCGAACTTGCCATGATGGGCTTGCCATGGTGGCAGTGGACAGAAACCTCAGTACGGTTTTTTGACATTGGCATATCAGTGTTTCACAGCTGAGTTGTTCATCTATGGCAGTCTCTTTCTGAGTGGTGTCTATTATTGTCTGAGCGCGTTTTGGAGTGCCGTAGCCAACAACTCATGGAACTTGCATCACAACAATGCACCTGTTCACAAAGCACTATCTGTGAGGGAGTTTTTAGCTAGTAAACAAATAACTGTGCTGGAACACCCTCTCTATTCACTGGATCTAACCCCCAATGACTTCTCTGTTCCTGAAGATATAGGAAATATTGAAAAGAAGGCATTTTGATGGCATTGATGACATAAGGAGTAATACAATGGAAGCTCTGAAGGCCATTCCACAAAACCTGTTCAAAAATTGCTTTGAAGGTTGGACTAGGCGCTGGCATCAGTGCATAACTTCCAAAGGGGAGTACTTTGAAGGCCACCACAGTGATATTCAGCGATGAGGTATGTAGCACTTTTACCACAATGAGTTCGCGAACTTTATCATTAGACCATGTTTACACACATATAACAAACCTCTATATCTATATATATATATAAACTAATTTCAAAAGGCGACGAATCTGATTTCCTGAATGTCAGACTGAGCCTATCAGAAGACCTGAAAGGATTAATTACATTTAAAGATAAAAGAATAAGTGAGAAAACATGAAATCAAACATAGGCAATGAAGATTCGCAAAGGTAGTAATAAATAACAGGAAGTTCCAGCAATCTGATTTACAAATTACTGTTCTTCAAATAAACTTCTACTGAAATAATGTTTTTACAATTCTTTCACCAAGTTTGATCTGTATTTCTCTGTACAAACTGATTCCTGAAATGAGTCCCAGTTATCTCTGCAATCACACACTCAAAATGAGATTCAAAACCTGTTCTGAGCTATTACCATTTCATGACTGGCCTTTCAAAATCTCTACTTGTTCTTCATTTACATTTCAGTATGCTTTTGGTGCACCTTCATTATTCATTCTTTCAAAATGGTAGCTCATTTCTTTGTATAACTTAACTAGCAAGAGTAACAGCGTTTCACATGTTTCTTAAATCAGTGGTGGAAAAACAAACAGCTAATTTGTAATCTTATGATTACGCCTTCCTGTTGACAAAGTTCTATTATGTAGAGATATATCACACAGTAATCATTTTATGCATTAAGTACAGTAACTGCCAAGCAATGAAACATCAATTAGGAGGTTCCTTTTATAATACGTGCACCAATATGCTTATCAACCAGACATAACATTGAGAAATTAACAGAGAAACACAAAACACTGAACAAAAAGGATTCTATATGCAAAGACATTTCTCTTCTCATGAATATTAATTCAACTCTTATACAGAAGACAGATATGTGTAGCACACAGGTATACAAGACTTGTAGCTGCAGGGAGGACGACCTCTCTAGGGTGAAGAGTAACCTAAGTCACAAGTCCTAAGTCTCTACGCTTGAGATCAATAATAAGACAAGATTACTTTTCTTGAATGAAAAAATTTACAAGCCCCAATGCAAATATTCTAGGGACGTAGTAAGAAAAACTCATGAAACACATTTCATTCACTGAAATCAACTGGCACTTAACTCGCTGAAATTAATATGCATTATCAAAAGGTTGTTTTTAGAGTTGGTCCAAACAGGAGTGCATACATTCCAAATGTTTTCCCCAGAAGATGAAAGCAGGAGGTCCCTCTAAAAATTGGAACCTACATAACAAAACTACACAGTATCACATACCAGATGACAGAATTAATACACGTTCTCTCAAGTTTGCCATCCCCAGTTCTTAAAGTCCATTTACTGAAGAACTGAACTTTGACAAAGACAATCGACACACAAATGTCATAAACTTTATTGCATACGTGTGTAATCAACAGTAAGGATATAAACACGGGTATAAATAATTTGTTTCTTGCATATCACAAAATGTCCCGAATGAAACTTAAAGGTTTAATAAGATCATATTCTTGTACATCAAGTACCACCAGCAATTTTCTGTGCAATAATTTTCTTTGAACAAATTTCATAAAGTTAAATTTATACCTCTTGTAAAGTAGGGGTTACTATGGACTGATATGGTCCAGAATAAGATTTCATTACTTCCAGTGTAGTTTTGCAATATAACATTTCATCAAAATATGCTGAATAGTGTGGTAATAAAGCATAGAGAAACAACTTTTGCATTTACTTTATGTGTGTAAAGGACACATAAAAAAGCACTGTGATTTAGCTGCATCAACAAACACCACACAACATATGTCAATATTTCACTGCACATCACAGTCACCTACCATGCCCAGTACTCCTTCCAATTCTCCCTGTTCTGTTCCATGTTCACAACATCACCAATCAGCAGCAGGAACTAGGGCTGCAAGTCATGCGGAAACCCCAGGTACTATAAGGTTTTCATGTAAGAATGACATATCATCAAGTGTCACTGCAACTTCCCAGAAATACTTCTTACCAGAAACGTGTAAATGGTTATCACTCTCATGCAAACTTTTCTCCTTGTTGCTCTGACTAATAACATGTCCTGGCCAGGAAGTTGCACACTGCCCCACTATCATTTTACTTCCTGCGAAACTAGTGTGTATCTTATATCAACAACAATACGTCAACTGCATTAGTTAATTTCAGAACTGATCATGGATCATGGATTCAGAAGTAACTGACCATATTTTAACACTTGTACATTATAGTACAGGATGAACAGCGTGTTTTTGCCTGTTTAATGAGACCACTGCTGCAACATAATACATCCAATGAATATGGTTGTCATTCACTTATTATTTTGCATTATGCAACTTGTTAATACGCTATTCCTATTATTTTTGGGCAGGACTGAAGAAAACCACAATACCCACTCTCCAAGCAGAGATCTTAAACCAGAACTTCCAAATCATGAAACAAGTGTGCTGACCTGTACATTGTGATGTTCTGTGTAAAACTGTTGAATACAGTGATTTGAATTTCTAGTTTCCATGTCTAGGATAGACGATGATTTTTCTTGATAATTTTCAACAGCCTCTCTATAAAAAAAAAGCATGAATAGAAGGGGCAGGTTCTTATACAGCAATTGTTACAGTGCTACAACAGAATTATCTAGCCACAATGCATCTCTTTATATCGAGAGTGACTATGCAACCAGCCCCATTAAGCAGAGTCCTTGAGGAGTTACTCAATAAATTTCCCACCTTTTACAGAACCTGAAGGCTCATTACAAGGAATGCTAAAGCCTACCACTGGTCCCTACCCTAAGCCAGTTAAATCCGGTGCACACATCTTAGTTCTTCAATATTCACTCTAATATTACCCTATGAATAATCTTCCATTCTGGTTCTCCATTTAAACATTTGGATGAAATTATCATGTCCCCCATGTGCTACATGTACCGCCCATCACATCTTCCTAATATATGGTGAACAGTACACATTACAAATCTCTTCAAAGTTCAATTTCCCCCACCCTTCTGTTACTTCCTCTCCCTTACATCTGAACCATTTTCAGAAACCGTGAATCCGAGTTTGTCCCTAGGGGTGAGACACGCACATAAACACAACCGGTAATCTTTCGTTGGTTATTTTACGACGCTATCAGTAGTTCAACTACATAGGTAGCGTGAAGTGGTAGAATGAAAGATACGCGATGAATGTATAGGATTTGGAAGGAAGTGGTAGTGGACTAATAAGGATACTATTCTGGAATTTTCTTCGATGAACTGAGGAAAATCACGAAAAAACACGACACCCCTCGGTCAGGACAGCGAGATTCAAACCGAGAACCTCTAGGGCGCTACTGCGACACTAATCTGCTCAGTAAGAAAACGTGTTTTATGACGACATATTGCAGTATTTTGAATTCTTCCCGGAATCCATCTGGCAGTACACATGGGATTTAACCAAGCCACGGTAATAATGAAGCAATTCGTCCTCCTGATTGGTGCAACTCTTCCTTATCGAAATTTTATGCGAACATTCACGCGGCTCCTAACTCGAAGACAAGATAAGATGAGACAGACGACGATGTTGGCAAATTCCCGATGGATGGCTTATTCGCACTTAACATTCCACAATGTGACGTCAGACTCGTACACAGGACTGCAAGGCCCACTACTGATTTCTCACCTCTTGCTTCAGATTACGGGCTTTATCAACTGAATATGTTATACCGAACACAAGTAGTATGGTGACCTGGAAGCGACGATGAAGGACGGTGATGGGGCCTACTGTAAGGTGCAGCTATCCCAGTACTTGCCTGGAGGGCCTGAGAAAAACCGTCAAAATCCTCTGTCGTGAGAGCCAGTCTCAAGTAACATGCAATTTTGAAGAACGTAAGGGCAAAAGAGGTAATCTTATAACATTCAGCACCATACCCGTACATAAGAACTCACGGTTTCTACTCACTTTTCCTTCAACTGCAGGCCTACAGCGGCTACACTAGGGCAGGATTTAAGGCGGAGCGCCTGTTCGTCACCTGGGTCACTTCTTCATGGAACCAAGTGACTTCTATGACGCCCCCACAAATAAAGTCCTACATTTCATTCGAAGTGTAGGATTAATAAAGGGTTAATCCAAAGGGGAAGCACAACAGATCACTGAAGGTCGTAGTGCGAGGGCCGGATTTTAAGCCCCCCCCCACACACACACACACACAAAGCGGAGCGCCCGGGACTTCCACAAAACAGAATCCACAAATTTTGTTTGAAACACCAGTTTCTTTAAAATCATGAAAAGACAGTTGGTAATTAGGGGAGTGACACAGCTCAGGCGGTTTAGTTGCCGGCTTCCCACCGTGGTGACCCGGGTTCGAGCCCAGGTCGGATCATGTGGGATTTGTGGTGGACAAAGTGGCAATGGGGCAAGTTTTTCCCGAGTGATTCGGTTTCCCCTACCAGTTCTCATTCTACAGTCTGCTCCACACTCATCATCATATATAACCACGGAAACCCTGTAAAGCAACCGGTCTCCAGACCGATATTTGACCCCCTTCCCAATATGACGGAGGAATGGAATCAGCTCAGTCGCAGCGTCGGGTACTTCGAGCGTCTTGCTGTTCATTATGTGCGCCATCGTTCTTAAGCCGTCGCTATTTTCAGAGCAGAATCGTCGGGTGGGTACAGACCAGAACATCGCAGTAACCACGGAATTACAGCATCCGACTCTTGCGGTCTCAAGCAAACTGCATCCTGTTTATTTTTAAATAACGTTTGTGTAACTCGCACAATATTTTTTATGCAGCAACAAGAAAAACGAATTTTACTCCTCTCTGAAGCAACGTCATTCTTGTGAAATTAACTGCTGCTCAGGTTGTCAAGAAATTCCCCGTATTTTACAGAACTCTAGTGTTAACAAGATTCCGCCCCTGGGCCAGACGGATTCAGCCCACATCCTATCATCCCGTCTAAGATATTTTAAGGCAGTTACTGTGTAACACACAGAGATATCGGGTTTCCCGACTTTATCCAAATACCTTAAAATATACAGAGATATTGGGTTTCCGGACTTTATCCAGCGTCCTGTTTTTTTTAAGATAACTAAGAAAAACACGACGTTTCGGAAACTGGATCCGAAACGTCATGTTTTTCTTAGTTATCTTAAAAAAAACAGGACGCTGGATAAAGTCCGGAAACCCAATATCTCTGTATATTTTAAGGTATTTTAATATTATCCTCCCATCTACGTCTAGATCTTCCTGGTGGTCCCAACTTGAACAATCTATTTCTTGAAAACGTGTACTTCCGACGGACGTTCAGCTGCCGCTATCCCAGCAAAAACGATTCTCCAGTTCGAGGTCACACAAAGGAACGAACAACCAAAATAAATAACACGAAAGCTAGTAAAAATTATATATAAGAATCTGGGGTTCTATGACGGTTGCCCACAAGTTCCGCAGGCATATTTCTCGAGCTGCACATTGTATTACAAAACCTATCCTACAAAATCATTTTCTACTAAAACTGTGTACCTAATTCTACCACAAAGCTGCTGGTTCAACAAAGCGGAAAACAATTATTTTAGGTGATTTCGGGTTGTCGATGATAAAAAACAAAGCTCGACCGAGGTTTCCATTCACATTACACGATTCTCAGAAATTCCAGTTACCTCTCCCCATAGTGGCCTCCGTAGTCTAGAGGTAACGTTCCCACCTCATGACTCGTGGTACGCGGGTTCAAATACCCGGCGGAAGTCGTCGAATTTTTAAGGGCGGAAAAATTCAGGGAACAAGTCCTCCGGGAGGGACTTTAAGCTGTGTGTCCCGTGTCGTAACTTTACGGCACGTAAAAGAACCTCATATCCCCAAAGGGGATCACTGAGCCAAATTCCAGGACGTTTCGCGCCCAACAATAGTCTCTATGGCCTCTGATAGATGGGGGAAGCATTATAGATACCGCTAAGCAAGTGGCTGAACTCGCTTGCTCGGCGGGACTGATGGTAAGCACCATTTATCGGTAGGGTACAGAGACTGGTAGATATCATAGAGGGAAGCACAATAGATCAAACTGGTCGCGGTGCATGGGGAAACCCACCCTCTCTAAATAACTAACTAACTCTCTCTCTCCATTATTACGAAAGTACTGCGCAGTTCTTTTAGCCGCATTCGCAATGCTAAGAAGCGCCTGCTAACTGTAACCCATCTGTCCGTCTGTAGACATGAAACATCTGCAGAACCACAGCAGACAGTTCCATGAAATTTGATACTGGAGAGTTTAACCAAGATGTGTCGATGAACTTCAATTTTGGTTAATATCGGACAAAATATCGGTCACTTTACACGAACACATGCACGAGTTTCTGCCCGTACTCGAGCATAAGTCATTAAAGATTTATTGGTGAGAAAAATGTTCTGAACAAAGTTGTACAGAAAAACGAAACATATATTTTAATTCCAACACCTTTTTCGGCACGTCTTCCGGTTTCCTAGGTAATTAAACAAATATTGTTATGCCATGTGTTCAATTCCTAACTTGCACATTCAACACTCAAAAATGGACTACCAAACATAAGAGATGATTACCGAACAATAACAGCGGTTTTCCGAACACATGCCAAAATTGCGGAATGTCTCTTATTCTCCGCAACAATCAAATGGATAAATACAGCGTGGAATTTTAGACCGGTTTCATAGCTCTGGTCTTTACGGCGACAGGTGCGCCGCTTGTCGCGAGGCGCATATTAATTTTGCCAATAAATCAGCATGCCTGACGGCCGATAACATTCGGAATGAACTAAGATCACAGGAGGTGTTGAAAATGCTGTTCCTCTATGCGTAGATATCTTTTGAAATTAACTATTTCGTTAAATAAGAAAGGTTTAACAGTTCTTCTCGCCTTTACAGCACACCAGACACCAACTTTCGCTGGGTGGAGCGGGGTTTCATGGGTTAGATGTGAATTCTGTGAACTCCAGTAGCGATTATTTTGCGTATTTATGTATCCCTGCAAGTGAAACCACGCTTCTTCAGAAAAAAATGTCAACTGAGGATCGGTCTCACCTTAGATGACAGACTGTAGAAACCAACTGCATAAACAAACCTTGCTAGTGGAATCGCGCGGCTACAAGGTGTGGATTACTGTTGTTTTATAAGGTCTAAGCTTCAGTAAATGTACTATCCTTCTGGCATCAGACACTGACACTCCAGTCTCTTGAGCTAGACGTTTCATTGATTTTCTAGGTGTATGTTCAAATCTGGTCCCTATGTCATCTAACTTCTCCTCAGTAGGCACTTGGCACATCTGTTTCTGTTTCTTGTCTATTAAAAGTCCAGATGTTCTAAGTTTATTCACGAAATTGTGAACTGTTTGTCTGCTAGGAACTTTTCATCATTCTTGTAAAGCAACAACATTAATGCTACAAATTCAGTACCGTTTCTTTCATACACATTCCACACCCATGCTTTGTGCACTAACTGTATATAAAACCAACATCGAACCATCAAAATTAAGAGTGAACTTCAATATAACAACATATTCAAATTTATAAAATAAAATTATGACATAAGCAGTACCGACACGCAGCCAACATACAAGCTG